AAGTTAATTAAAGCCATTCAAATAAAACGGGTTTATGTTACAAAATACAAATATTAAAATAAAATTTTAATATTGATTTAGTTTCAATTGAAAAGTAATAGATTTGTCTTTTGATAAATATTTATTTAGTTGTTTTTCATCCTTTGGTTTTTAATTTAATGTACCACTAAATCTATTTAAAGTTTTCTTTGGCTTTCCATACAATGTAAGAACGAAATAAATAAGTAAGTAAATCATTGGAAAATTGTTATTTGTTTATGAACTTTAAGATAAGATTGGTTAAGCACGAAAGCGTTTCGCTCAAAATGTAACTGAAATTTGGGTTGGTTATCTTATAAACACTTTTTTATTTGCAACTATTTCTTACTAAAAAAGAATTTAGTGACTTGAGAAAGTTTTTTACTTTGGAAGATTTGCTACTTCTTTTTATTCTCTTTAATATATATATTTTTCAAGCCTTGGTAATTTTTTTTTTTTGCATTTATCATAATATATACGTTATTGTTGAAGAGGGATATGATTTCTTAAATGAAATATAACATTAATTATCTAATATTAGTGTTTAGTTAACGTTCGATTGTCGAATGAAAAATATGTTTTATATAATAGAAATAAAAAAATATATTCCTAAAAAAAAGAAATTCTTCAAGGAGCAGAAATATTACGAAATAAAATTTATTGTTTAATGTGGAAAAATAAAACTGTCATAGCCATAATATCTAGTCAGAAACTATACGGAGAATATATAGAAATCGGCATTTAAAATAAATAATAAAATCCTAATACTCGTAATTAAAAGATATATATTTTTCTTGCTGATATATGATATTTTTATGAATCATGAAAATATCATAGATATGCGCACGTAGAAATTCAAGTGGGGGGCAACAAAAACTTTAACCGCCCTATAATCCTTTCAGAATGACCTATATTTTTGTTCGGTCATGCCAAAGAATGATAGCGCGGTGGGAGTAGGTGAGTTTCGGTTTTTTGTCGTCATTAGTGTGACCTGCCCTAACCGGTTTTATTGTTGGAGTAGCGAGTGTGTTGTGGTGGTCGGGAATGGCGTCACTCGTGTGTTCCTACGCCATCGATGTGTGTAGCGACAGTGAAATTATGGACACTGTTTGCTTTATCGTTGACGTCTTGCAGCTGTATGTCATTGTCGGTCGTTAAATTTGTTTTGATAAGGCACAAAGGCCCATGAATAACGTTATTTATTGTTTTGTACGTGAAACATTAATGTTTCTGTGTGGTTTGTATATGGTAACATTCGATTGCATTGGACTCGAATGTCACATCCAAAATTAAGAGCAAATGGATGGCCGTCATTTAATCATTTAGCGATTGACAAAGAATCCGCCGATACAGAATCAATCTACTGAGATGCAGGTCAAATAAAAACTGGTTTTTTGTTAATGAATGTATAATTTCACTGATTTAATAATATTGTTGTAATTGTTCATGCTATTTATTCTCTGTACATGTATTTGTATTAGGGTTGAGTTTACTAACATTAGAGTAAGAATTAATTGTCTTTTCTTTGAAATTAAGTTTAATAATAAAAAACTCAAAAGAGACATACAGTCCATGAAATTTAATTTGAATTTTCCTTTATTTAGTTGTTGATATTTAAATTATTAGCTTTTACTTAAATAACCAACAAAGACGAGATTTAACTCTCCGTGTGGTCGTTCGAGTAATAGTCATACAATTTTACTGATGACTCGTGAGAGATTACTCATAAAAACCAATCTTGTACATTTAGATTAACACATTGTATACAGAAATTCATGATAATCCTTTTTAAATTCTAAGGAAATTGAAATGTTTTTATTGAATTCTAACGTAAAAGGGTCGATTTAATAAAACTAGACCAGTCAAAGGCTGTAAAGTACCCTTTGAAAGCCGGTCCGCACGGTCATGTTTATACTCATTGCACTCTTGAAAAAAATATCATTTCTAAATATTTGTAGTAACGTATTTTAAGTATTTCGAGCTGAGAAATAGATAGACACTAAATTTTTAAATTAGAGCTCTATTAACTATGAAAAAATTGTTGTACTTTAATAAAATTAAACTTAAAGAAATTTTCAAAGAATTAAACTGGCATAGTTAGTTAAGCAGTTGTATAACTAAAAATTAATCAATGATATTATTTATTATTATGTTTACTTTAATAGTATAAAAAAACAAATTTATAGAGATTAATAAACAAAATAAACAATTAAAAATTATTATAATTTAAAAAAAAATATATATATAATTTGTAAATATAAATAAACAAAAAGTAACAATAATCATACAAAATATTAATCATGGTGAGGAAAACGTCCAGTAACAGAACCTCAACAATCTATAATTAAAATCAAATTTTAACACTTTAAATAAATATTTTCAATTTACTCTGTAAAAACAAATATTGTAAAATGCATTTTTGTGAATCGACAAATATTACCTTTATTAATCATTAAATAAATTTAAGGCAAGGAATCAAAACAAATTTAGGTTTTTAGAAAATTTTCACCATATTTAATAAGTTAGTTCAACTAAGGTAACGGAAACAATTTGGCAAGTTTCCCATTCTATGGAAATTTTTATATTTATTATGTCATAGAGTCTTTTATAAGTTCTTAAAATTAGGCTTTCGTTCCTTATCAAGTCTCAATCAAATTAAAATTATCATTTAAAGCTTTGATGAATTTAATACAAGAAAAGCATTAAATTCAATTATTAAAAACTGGTTAGTGTGTCATTATCTTATATTAAATTTTTTCAAGATTTGTAAGGTTAATTATTGTAGAAACCGAAATTATTATGACTTCTCTTTTAAAACTTTAAACAAGCTAACATTTTGACCTTATAAAGTTTACCAACATTAACCAATATATATTTTTCCGCTTTTAAATATTTTTAATTCCAATTTTAAGCTTAATTATGGTTTCAAGTGTAATCTTATAGAATTTTTGTTTTCTATAATTTTTTTTCAACATTCACTAAAAAAAATTCGATTTAGATAACTTAGTTTTTACTAGATATAAGAAAAAATTTCAAAAATCGAAATTATTTTGGTTTTTATGCCCGATAATTTCTATAATTTGAGTATAGGTTAAATATATTATAATCATCGCGTTCTTATAATAAATTAATAAAATTTTAGTAAATATTTAGTATGATAAAAAAATATATTATTCGAATATACAGTGCAATTTTTAGACATTTTAAGGTATAATTTTAATTGGAACAATAGATATTCTATACAATTTTAATATAGTATCATTATTACTTTATTGAGACTTGATAAGTATTAAGGAAGCTAAATATTTCTATTTTTATTTTACTAGTAGCTAAATGGTATCTAAATTTTTGTCAAAAATATGAGGAGTATTGAACGTTGACTAGTAGCTGAATAGTATATGATTTTTACTTTATTTAAACGATTAACATTTTAATCTCATGATATAAAAATATATATTTGTCTCATTGCATTAAAATTAAAAAAAAAATACATTTTATAATTTAAATATCTATGTTAAGTCTACATATTTTTAACAAGTAAAATTATTAACAAATGTTGTTCATCGTTAAAGTCATTTTACAGAATATTTAAAATATATTTAAAAGATGAAAAAAGTTTGCGTATTATTTTAAAAAAAAAACATTGTTTTTATCATTATATATATATATATATATATATATATATGTATATATTTAATTCGTAATAAGTTTGGGAAAATACAAAAGAAAAATAGTTCTTATCGAAATTTGATCTAATGACATTTGAAAAATCGTTCTTTTATCCTAGTTATTTATATATTATCTGATATACTAAATTGTAGTTGTTTTTATATTAAAATACGGTTTTAAATAACTGTAAATAAGACATCAATATATTTGTTATCTTTTTTGGCCAGAGACTGTGTGGATTGGAATAGCAGTTGGAAGATTTTGTGTGAAATGTTATCTTGTTATTTTCTTATGAAGTTGATTTTGATGATTTTGTCCATATTAGAATGGTCTACAGTGTAATAAGAGTATGTTTTTTCTTGTTTTATAAATAAAATACATTTTCCTATTTAAAATATATATTAGAATGTAGAAACATTCTTTGATACTATTATAATTTTAAACATTTTCTTAAACGAGCACTTATAACTAGCGGTATAATTTTTTTATGCTACTTTATTTATAATATATGAATAACTAAAAATTATTTCTTGTATCCTTTATCTATCGTTATAATTATTGGATTGAATATTAACATTTTTCTTTGAATTGATTTAATTGATTTATCAATGTTAGAATACTATATCATAAATAAAACTTTCTATTTGGAGGTAGAAAATTAGTTTTGTTAATTATTTTTTATATTATGACGTCATATTATATTATTTCAACATGTCGATGAGTATGTTGACGTTCATGTGGTTCAATAAACAAATAAATAAAAAACCTTTTACCAAAGCACTCAATATCACGCAGTGAAATGATGAAAGGATGTAAAATACCATAATATGTTAGTATCTGTTATACTATCCGTTTACCGACCGTAGGAAGTCATCTTGTTTTGGAATGCAGATTGGAAATTCTATTTCCGCCAATTTAGCTTGCTTTTCTGGGTTATATAGCAAAAATGATGAGAAAAATATAAACAAGCAAATATTTGTACATATACATTTATTTATCAAAAAAAAAAAAAAATATATTTGTGTTTTTGTTGTAAATGTAGGTAAACGTTAAATTCCAAGCTATCGGCGACCTACAATCATTGCTACTGCGCGCCAATGACAAAGTCCGACCCGCTGTTTGTTCGTAGCTGCAGAAGCGGCAGCAGCAGCACCTCCACACGGTCATCAGTATAGATATGACCGGGTAAATGGTAGTGGTAGAAAACGAGGGATGAAGTACAAAAAGGATACCTTCCACCCTCCATCGAACCGCGCGGCACCTGTTGACAACCCTTCGCGTGACATACTATCGCTGTTTCTCCTCTCACTGGTTGCTACTGCCATATACTCTTGAGCCGCAGTTCTTCGCGGATGTTCGTCACCGCAAAGCATAAAAAAAAGATGTCTAAAGAACGTCGTAAGTTAAAGCATTACGCTTTTATTGTTTTGTAGAATTTTTATGAAAAAAAAAAAAATCGGAATAATTAAAATTTACTTAACTAGAGTTGATAATTTATTTGAAATAAATAAAAACGAGTGCGCGTTTCCGTCTATAAGAAAAATTTTTTTAATAAAATTTTATCAGGTAAGATTTTATTAAATACTTAATTTAAATTTTTCAACAATTATATTACAACCTTTAAGTTACAATTGTTTGTAGCAACGTGAACTGTATACATCATAGCTTTAAATGAATGTCATAAAGTTTGACTAATGTTTTGTCATTAGAGAAGAATTAAACACATTTATTACCTTGGAATAAATATTTATTCTTATGTTGAAACAGCTAATTTGTAAATAATTGGTTAAAATGAATATCTTTTTAACGATTAATTAAATTTTTTCGGAAATTTAGTCGTCATAATTTTATTTAAGATTATTGCTTTGGTTTTTATTTAATTATTATATTGTACATCGGTTAAAATTAATTCGAAGGTCGACTTTTAGTTGAGTTCAGTAAAATTTGACTGATTTTTATAAAATTGCTGATTTTCCACTAAAGTAATATGGCGAAAAATACATCGTTTATTATAAAATTAGCATTAATTATAACCATTCTATATTTGTCGTATCTTATGGGATTGTGTTATTTTAGGTTTATTACCCTAGTTTTGAGGTAAATAACGTTTTCAACACTTAAGAACCAACAGTTTTTATATAAATAGTAAAGTGTTACAATATAATGTTTCATAGTTGATGAGTTATTTCAAGCGAATAAACTACCGATTTAACATAATAGATATTTTTTTGTTCCATGTTTCCATTTCAATGAATTTTCAATTGAAAGTAGAGGTATTACGACCCAAAGTATAAATTATAGATATATATATTATTATTTTAATGTACTTATGGTTCTTTCTATTGATATTTATTTGCAAACTTTGTCAGTATTAAAATTTCTACAATACATTACAGTTCGTTCATTTATTCACGAGGTATTATGATTACTAAATTTATGTTGTTTTTGTCTTGCAAAGAAAGGGAGTATTATTTCTGTTAAAGTATCATAAGTTCCAGCCCAAGGACATTAAATTTTGTTACTTCGATTATGTAAAAATATATTTGATAAGTGACAGTATATAATTATAGAATTTTTCCAACGCAGACGTTAAACTTTAAATTTTATTGTTTGGATTTTTTTTTTAATATTTAATTTTTAATCAATAATCTATCAACAACAATTTTTTACATTTTTTTTTTTATATAAACTGGAGTAGAAACATAGTAACTATAAATTAAAAAGAAAATGCCTTAAAGTAGTTATAAGTATATTTATAATTTCTTCTGAATTAATCAATAAAAATAAATTTTAGTTTAATTACTTTTTTAAAGGTTTTTTTTTGTCGTGACAAAAAAGAAACAATTATGATAATTACATCATTTCAGATGTTTGTACTTGTATGTATAGCAGACAAAAAACTTTAAGGTTTAAATGCAATTTTATTTACGAGGCCAGATTTGTTGGTATTTTATTATAATTATGTTTTACAGTACATGTATTGTACACTTATAATTATTACGTCATTAAATTTTACCCACAAAAAAATATTTAACAGAAGAAATTTAAACAAATATATTTAAAAATTCGCAAAATAAATAAATATACAATGTAAGTTTATGTATTACATTTAGCTGGTTTGATGTTATTTTTGTTAACAATATTTACTAATTTTTTTACTAACTAATTATCTTGCCAAATAACAATACCCAAAGGTTATGTAATTATTTGTTTATTTTTAAAGGAAAAAAAAGGTCAATATTTTACGATAAAAAAAAATTATTTATTTACTTATTTATTGTCGTGGTTTTCATATTCCTTTCGGCTGTTAATAATTTTAAATACAATTAATATTAATTATCAAAACTATTCCAGGAACAATCACAAATGTGTATACATTTTTATTTCTGAGGTTTTGCTCGCGAATGTATTTTTTAACAGATCGATTTCCATTTAAAATCGTTTACATGAGTTCACCATTTTTTTTTTTGCAGTAAACACCCCCGGAGGGAAATATTATAATAAATAGAGTTTATGCTGAGTTTTATTTTATAACTTGTGATTCTATAGAAATGTCGTGTTTCGATGACCCAAAAATGGCAAAGGCGTGATGGTAAAAAAAAATATTACTTTTTTTTATATACGCGATTATTGTAATCTATAAATGATATTTTGGCGGGTGATTGTCGACGAGGAAAAGCCAATTTTTTCAACGTCGAATAGATTTATTGCACGCATTACTGAAAATCTGGATTGTTAAATAAGAATCAAAATTATACGACTTTCAGTAGACAATGGCTTAGTCTGATGTTCGTTTCCAAGCATAGCTCAAAAGTCCCAATGGAATTCTAACATGACATTTTGTTCATAATGATTTTTTAACACCCAAGTCCACAGAAAAACATTATTATAATTATTATAATTGCTTATTTTTTGCTAAAAATTTTAGGATTTATAAGTACTAAATCTATTGAATTATAATGCAGGAGTCTACAAACTGAAATAAATATATTGTTTTAAGTAGTACTGGCATAATGAATTAAAAATTAACTATAGAATGTTTAAACATATTTTTTCTGTCGTAAAAAAATATTTTGATATATAATTAAACTATTAATAGTAACTGAATAGAAACAGTCAATGTTATCAAAGTGTTAGGAAATGCAATGTCTTCTAACATTACCGTGTAATGCGCATATTTATGAAATATATAAAAAAGCTTTAGGGAACTTTATTATGATTAGGTAAAACCACTTAATAAGAGTGGATCTTGAATTTGGTTAAATGTCATGAAACATTAAACAAAAGAACTCTACGGAAAAAATAGAAAAATTTCATAATAAATTTCTCTACTAAGTCATAAATAAAACTATATTGATGGATAAAACGCTATTCAACGTGGCTAAATTACATGGTTTATATTCTCAATCGATCAGACATGATAGTTTTGATATTTTATTATTTTAAACAATTATTAATAAAATGTTTTGAAAACCTAGTAAAAATTATAAAATATATGTGTATTATAACACAGGTTAAACTATTTATTTTCCTGTACCTATTTATTAGGTACAAGAAAATTTTTCAGTACCTATTTACGAAGTTTTATAATACAAATGCTATCTTCATGCAGTAAATTGCATAACCTAAATGTATGTAATTATAAAATCATATTGTAAAAGATACTGTATATAATACAAGTCAATGTTAATCTCAACCTCACACCATGCGTACAACCGGTATAGCCCTATGTTTCTCAACTGGAGAATATTAGCGTGGAGCCAATCCAAATACGCCAAACATGTGGCTTTGAACAATACTTGTAAAATCATAAAGGGATGTCTTAGGCCAACGCCTACATACAAGTTATACCTTCTAACAGGCATAGCTCTACCTGAAATTAGAAGACAAGTAATCACTGATATAGAAAAAACCAAACAGGTAAATGACGAAAGACATCATATGTTCTGACATGAAATCGCGAGAACAAGACTTAAATCTCGAAGAAGTTTCATACAAACAGCAAAAGAACTACACGAACTCCCACAAAAAGTTAGACTGCAAAGGTGGTAAGATGAGCTACAACCGAAAGAACTGATTCAGACTACACAACAACTTCCGTTGGGTAGACATCTTCCATAGCCACTATGGAAAACTCTTAACACATTCAAAGCCGGAATGTCGAGGACTAAATATAGTAAAATGGGGCTATATTGGAAAAGATGACACATGTGAATGTAGAGAATTTTTTATAATTGGACACGTCAAGAAGAATAAGTTAATGTTATATGTCAATTATATTTTCTGTTTGTTCATGCTTATTTAATTGTAAATTAAATTAAGTTCTGTAATTTTTTCTTTGTATATGTTTATATAAAATAAAATATTTTTAAGATAAGATAATTTTAATTTCATTTGTATTAATATTGCATTTAGATCAAATATTAGCAATAAATACATTTTTGGCAATACTATTAGATTTTCTTTACCTATTCTTAATAAATATACTATGATCGATATTGAACGATAAAGATGTAATTTTCAATTATGATCACTTTAGCTTAAAAAGAACTCAAATTTTACATCAATATTTGATTTTTGTTGTGCAGTTGTATACAAATTAATAATAATTGTATAGAAATGCATAATTTGTTTGTGTGAGACTATTACTTGTAAATTGTTTGTAAATATTTTATTAATAGAGAAAAGTATAATTTCATAAGTAAAAATAACTTTTAGTATAATGATAGTAAACAATTATTACGGAGAAAAAATTCAACGTTAATCACAAAAAAAAAAAAAAGATTAAACTTACAAATTGCTTTTAAGGATTAAAAAAAACGTAACGGATGAAATTTAAAATGTTCATCTAACGTTAATTGGTTTTTAGAGTTTTAAAAGTTTTAGTTAAATGAAATAATTAAATGGCTTTTAATACTTCATTATTTCCTTCAGAACTACATACTTAGACCACTTTTTTTTCTAAGTTCATATTTATATTAAAAAAAAGCTATAGAGTAAAATAAAATTTATCTTTTTACTATGAAAGCATTATTGGTTAGTCTGTTAATTATAGAATTTTAAATTATAACAAAAAAATTAATTTATTAGTTTTGTCATTAACTTGATTTGACGGATTATAAGAAGTAGCTAATAGTGTTATATTTAACAAATAGAAATGTTATTGACATTTTACTCTGTACTATTCTAAACAATGTGATGAAATTTCTAGGCCGTAATAATTTATTTTTTCTACCCTCATAATGTACTGATCAAATTTTATTTTTATGATTGATTAAAAATTATTATTACAAACATTTCTTATTATTAGTTTAATGAAAAACTTAAGAAATATATTTTTATTTAATTTTTAATTAAAAACTATTCATGTTTTCTAATTATAATTATTACTACTTACAGCTTTTTTTTGTATTAAGTAACATAAAATTTATCACAATTATGAACATTAAGTATATATATATAAGCTAAATAATGCAGTGTTTACAATATACTTAATACAATTTAAAATTAGAATTTATTTCATGTAATTTTTTATTTTCCAACACGATTAATTATTTTTTGCGGGA